AAGTATTGTATATAAAAAGACAAGAATTTTATTCTTTCATACGACTAAGTAATACTTTATAGAAAATCTACCGAATTGTACCTTTGCTCAAATAAGAGAAGTAACATCTTCGAGAAAGGTTTCAATTTTTATAAGTGGTAGAAATATTATATTGTAATTTGGAAAATAACTTTAAATTTACAATATAACACTATGTACATCATACGACTGTTTTAATTAGGAATAGTATACATTATCTTGAAGAATCTGAATTCGCTCCTGTATCTATCGTTCAATTAATTTTGTCACATTAATTTATTGGCTGACTTGTTATTTTATAAAATATACTAATACATTTGTATCAAGGTCACTTCTTTGCCTTAAACGAATTCTCAAGCCTTTCATTAATATCAGCATCTCTATCTGCATTACACATTTAGGTATTATCTATGCACTGTGATACCCATTTAAAGGCCATGTTCTATACAGCAAGCGTATCATTATCAGAAATTAAGTGGCCAAAAAAATTACTTCCAGCAAGTCGTTGATTGATTTGCAAATCATCTTGTTAAAAGAACATTTAAAATGAATGGATTCTGGTTGTAATCTTTTTGTCCTTGCGATAGTAAATTCGAAATAAACCTTCGATGTTATACGTATCTTGCTTATTAGGTAAAAGTTGTTACTTTAATTGGCACCAAAAAGTTAAATTTTAACGATTACCTTGACAGTAGATAGTAAAGTTCTATTATGGTTCATTCGTTTCCTTCATATTTATCAGCTTTAATTTTCACGGCAATGTTAATTATTCTGTTGTTCTAAATGGACAAAAATTACAATTCCATTCGCCCATTACTTCCTACTTCTTTCTTATTTGATTAATGAATGCTTATACTGCCGAAAAATTAAATTTAGAATAATAACGAAAGAACAAAATTCTTGTTATAGGCGAACTAGTGAAAATTATAAAAAAAAAATTAAGTAAAATAACTGACCCTTCGAATTTTATGCAGCAAGTTGGTTTTCTCAATTTGATTAGTAAGACAGTCTGGAAACATTGTAAACATAAGAGATCAATTTATTTTCAAAAATGCATCGATGCATAAGAAATATGCAGTCTTATAAAGTTGCATAAAAAGAACTCGGTAAATAGCATA